CCCAAACCCATGACAATCCCCCCCAAAGGCCAGAATTTGGGGCACCCCCGAGGTACCGCGTCGAACTGGGTGAAGAACTCGTGGGGTTTGCTCTCCACGCTCTCGGGGTCGGCCTTGACCTCCACCATGGGGTTGAGGCTCTGCGCCCGCTCCAGCGACGCCTCGGCGCGGTTCCGGCCCAGGGAGCCCGCGGGGATCAGGAACTGGGCCCGGCTGTCCTCGGGGGACACCTGGGGACAGAGGGGACAGAGTTTGGGGGGGATGGGACACGGGAACTGCCCTGGTTTGGGGAGGGTGGGATCAGGAACTGGGCCCGGCTGTCCTCGGGGGACACCAGGGGACAGAGCTCCAGGTGACAATGGGACACGGGAATTGCCCTGGTTTGGGGAGCAGGGACCCCACTGGGATCAGGAACTGGCATGGCTGTCCTCGGGGGACACCTGGGGACAACATTTGGGGGGGGGGGAATGGGGCACAGCAATTCCCACATTTTGGGGTGTTTGTGAGGGAGAAAACCGCAAAGATGGAGGGGATGAAACTCCCAGATTTTGGGGATGTTCCTGAGGGATGGGGGTGATGAAATTGCCACGTTTTGGGGATGTTGGTGAGAGAAAAACCCCATGGACAGAGAGGATGAAATTCCCAGATTTTGGGGATGTTCCTGAGGGATGAGGGTGATGAAATTCCCAGATTTTGGGGATGTTCCTGAGGGATGGAGGTGATGAAACTCCCACATTTAGGGGATGTGCAGAAAGGAAAAACCCCAGGGATAGAGGTGATGAAACTCCCAGATTTTAGGACTGTTTGTGGGAGGGGGGGAAACCCCAGGGGTGAAGGTGATGAAACCCCCACATTTTGAGGATGTTCCTGAGGGATGGAGGAGATGAAATTGCCAGATTTTGGGGATGTTCCCAAAATCCAGGTGTGTACCCCCCTCACCTGTTGGTGGTCCAGCAGGGTGAGACCCCTGACCCCGGCCAGGATGAGATTTTTGGCCACCTCGGCCCCCAGCCCACGCAGCCCCACCAGCAGCACCCGCGATGCCCGTAACCTGTGAGAGGATCCCGGGAAAAAAACCAGCATTTATCCTCCAGATAAATCCTAAAGAATGGGAATGTGGGACCCCAAAACTCCTCTAGTGACCCCTAAACCCTGTGGGGACCCCCCAAGACAAAAGAAAGATCCCCAGATCGCTACAGAGCCACCCCAAATCCCCAGATCGCTACAGAGCCACCCCAAGTCCCAGACCCCTACAGAGCCAACCCCAAATCCCCAGATCGCTACAGAGCCACCCCAAATCCCCAGATCGCTACAGAGCCACCCCAAGTCCCAGACCCCTACAGAGCCACCCCTAACCCTTATGGGGGACACCCAAGGCTTTGTAGCGACCCCCAGACCCCTACAAGGACCCCCAAGAACCCCTACAAAGCCCCCTTAAAGCTCCTATGGAGCTCCTGTAAATTGTACAGGGCTCTTACTCCCCCCCATAGGGTCCCCAAAGCCCATATAGAGACACCCACAGAATCCCCCCCAGCCCCACCGACCGTTTCTGGGCCTCGAGCCCCCAGAGCCGGATTTGCCGGTCGTACTGAGCCGCCTCCTCCTCGCTGATGCCGCCAGGGCTGGACTCGTCCTTCTCCACCATCGCGGCGGTCCCCGAGACCCCCACTCAGGATCACTCAAAGCCCCTTACGACCCCTAAAAGCCCCTCCGAGCTTTCAAACCCCTTCTCGACACCTCACAGCTCCTCACGGGCCATCAAAGCCCTTCAAGACCCCTCAAAGCCCCTCACGACCCCCCAGACCCCTCACACAACTCGCAGCGCCCCCTGGCGGCCCGCGCAAAGCCCCGCGCCCGCCGCCGCTCCACACCCCTCCGGGCGGGGGGGGACACACCGAATCCGCTCCCGGTACCCGCGGTCTCTCAGGAAAAAAGAACGGCCAGATGTTTTTTTTCTGCCGTTGTTTCACCCCGGTTTGACGGCGTGAGGCCGCGGTCACGGGTTTTGGGGCCCTGGCCGTGCGCCGTGTGGCACAACCCGTGTTGTTTCCCCCCCTCTTTCCGCACTCAGATGGACTCGTCCTCCTCCCATTGCGGGCGTTCCCGCCGTCCCCCATCGGTTTCGTCAATCTCCGTCAGCCTCGTTCGGAGACTTTCGGAAACGTTCCGAGCGCGCCTTCGTCAACCTTCGGAAGTCTTCGGAACGCGTCGGAAAACTTCGGGCGCACTCGGAGAGTCTTGGAGAACTTCGCGGAAATCCCGTGATTTCCCCATCCCAAAGAAACGAAGCGGCCAAACCGGTGCAAAAACCCCGTCAATAATTAGAAAAATCGGGGGTTTGGGGGTTATTTTCTCCTGGTTTTATAAAATCTATGTTGTGTTTTCCAAGTCACAGGTAGATCCCTAACTCCCTTCCCGCTCCTCTCACCTCGCACAGATTTTCCTACAATTTCGCGACGTTTTGGGTTTTTTTTTTTTTTTTTTTTTTTTTAAATTCCCAGATTTTGGGGATGTTCCTGAGGGATGGAGGTGATGAAACTCCCACATTTAGGGGATGTGCAGAAAGGAAAAACCCCAGGGATAGAGGTGATGAAACTCCCAGATTTTAGGAATGTTTGTGGGAGGGGGGGAAACCCCAGGGGTGAAGGTGATGAAACCCCCACATTTTGAGGATGTTCCTGAGGGATGGAGGAGATGAAATTGCCAGATTTTGGGGATGTTCCCAAAATCCAGGTGTGCACCCCCCTCACCTGTTTGTGCTCCAGCATGGTGAAACCCCAGACCCCTGACCCCGGCCAGGATGAGATTTTTGGCCACCTCGGCCCCCAGCCCACGCAGCCCCACCAGCAGCACCCGCGATGCCCGTAACCTGTGAGAGGATCCCGGGAAAAAAACCAGCATTTATCCTCCAGATAAATCCTAAAGAATGGGAATGTGGGACCCCAAAACTCCTCTAGTGACCCCTAAACCCTGTGGGGACCCCCCAAGACAAAAGAAAGATCCCCAGATCGCTACAGAGCCACCCCAAATCCCCAGACCCCTACAGAGCCACCCCAAGTCCCAGACCCCTACAGAGCCACCCCTAACCCTTATGGGGGACACCCAAGGCTTTGTAGCGACCCCCAGACCCCTACAAGGACCCCCAAGAACCCCTACAAAGCCCCCTTAAAGCTCCTATGGAGCTCCTGTAAATTGTACAGGGCTCTTACTCCCCCCCATAGGGTCCCCAAAGCCCATATAGAGACACCCACAGAATCCCCCCCAGCCCCACCGACCGTTTCTGGGCCTCGAGCCCCCAGAGCCGGATTTGCCGGTCGTACTGAGCCGCCTCCTCCTCGCTGATGCCGCCAGGGCTGGACTCGTCCTTCTCCACCATCGCGGCGGTCCCCGAGACCCCCACTCAGGATCACTCAAAGCCCCTTACGACCCCTAAAAGCCCCTCCGAGCTTTCAAACCCCTTCTCGACACCTCACAGCTCCTCACGGGCCATCAAAGCCCTTCAAGACCCCTCAAAGCCCCTCACGACCCCCCAGACCCCTCACGGCCCCTCACGCAACTCGCAGCGCCCCCTGGCGGCCCGCGCAAAGCCCCGCGCCCGCCGCCGCTCCACACCCCTCCGGGCGGGGGGGGACACACCGAATCCGCTCCCGGTACCCGCGGTCTCTCAGGAAAAAAGAACGGCCAGATGTTTTTTTTCTGCCGTTGTTTCACCCCGGTTTGACGGCGTGAGGCGGCGGTCACGGGTTTTGGGGCCCTGGCCGTGCGCCGTGTGGCACAACCCGTGTTGTTTCCCCCCCTCTTTCCGCACTCAGATGGACTCGTCCTCCTCCCATTGCGGGCGTTCCCGCCGTCCCCCATCGGTTTCGTCAATCTCCGTCAGCCTCGTTCGGAGACTTTCGGAAACGTTCCGAGCGCGCCTTCGTCAACCTTCGGAAGTCTTCGGAACGCGTCGGAAAACTTCGGGCGCACTCGGAGAGTCTTGGAGAACTTCGCGGAAATCCCGTGATTTCCCCATCCCAAAGAAACGAAGCGGCCAAACCGGTGCAAAAACCCCGTCAATAATTAGAAAAATCGGGGGTTTGGGGGTTATTTTCTCCTGGTTTTATAAAATCTATGTTGTGTTTTCCAAGTCACAGGTAGATCCTTAACTCCCTTCGCGCTCCTCTCACCTCGCACAGATTTTCCTACAATTTCGCGACGTTTTGGGTTTTTTTTTGTTTTTTTTTTTTTCTGCCGAGCGACATTTGGATGTGGAGAAACATCCCGTGACCAGCGGAAATTCCCTGTCCTGAGCTGAACTCCAGGTGGGAAGAGGATTTTGGGAGAACGTTGAGTCCAATCATCGACGGGCACCGTGGATTTGGGAGGGGTTTTGGGTCGGGAAAGACAAATCCGTGAGGGGAAAAGACTTCAAATCTCCTTATAAAACTTTCTTCTCCTCAAATTTCACTCTAAAACTCTTTAAGAAGATCCCCACATACGAGGACTTCCGGACACATTCGGAGAACTTCGTGAGAATTCGGAGAGAATCCGGAGAGCTTCGGAGGCGCTCGGAAACGCTCGGCATCCACCGGAAAAACCCGACGAGCACTTCGTGCATCCCCGCCGCCTTTCGGCGCCCTCCGAATAGGCGGCGCTCGGCTGTTTCCGGCGGCGCTCGGCTGTTTCCGGCGGCCGTCGGGGCGCTGCCTCAGGGCGGGCGCCATTTTGTGTGTCCGCCCGCGGAGCGCGGGGCGCGGGCGGAGGAGCCGCCGGGCCGAGCCCCCCGCGCCGTTCAGTGACTGTGCCCCCCGTTCTCCACCCCCTGCCCGTTGCCCATGGCCGTGGAGAGCCCGAGTGTCCCCCCCGCCGCCGCCGCCTCCCCCCCCAGCCCGCACTGCACTCCCCCTTCTCCGTCCTGCCACGGCAGCTGCAGCCTCCCCCGGCCGCCGCCGCCGCTCCAAGGCCACCATCACGGCCCGGACGAAAGGTCCAGTAACCGCCTCTCCCGAGCGCCTTCTCTGTGTGGCTGGGGGTCGGTCCGGCGCGCCGGACCAGGTTTGGGGAGGGGGCGGCGGGAGGGGGAAGGGCCTGAGGGGGATTTGGGGGTGGTCCTGAGGAGGAAGAGGAGGGGATGAAGGCAGTGCAGGCCTCGGGGTGGGTGTGAGAGGATTTGGGGATATTTTGGGGGGGTTTTTGAAGGACGATCCCTGGGTGGGGGGGGATTTAGGTCATTTTTGGGGGGCTCTTGAGGTGCTGGGGGGGTTTAACCCAAATTTTGGGGGGTTTTGAGTCCTCCTTAGGGGGGTCCAGCCCCTTTTTTAGGGGATTTCTTTTGGGTAAGGGCTTGAATTTCTTTTTAGGGAAGACTAAACTCATTTTTTTGGGGGTGGTCTTAAGGTTTGGGGGGGTTAACCCCAATTTTGGGGGGTTTCAGACCCTTTTTTTGGGGGGTTTAATCCCTTTTTTTGGGATTGAAATCCTAATTTTGGGGTTCAGCTCCTTTTGGGGAACTTTGACTCCCAGAGGGGGGGTCTAGTTGGGTTTTTTTGGGGGGATTTAACTCTTTTTTAAGGAATATTTAGATGCTGGGGGGGGGGTTACCCCAATTTTGGGGGATTTTAGCTCCTTTTGGGGGTTTAGCCCCATTTTTTTGGGGGATGATCCTTAAAAACTTTTTCATTCCCTCCTAAAAATTCCATTTATTTCCTTAAAATCTCCCCAAATTTGGCTCAGGAAGTTTGGGGGGGTCCCTTCAGAGATTTAAAATCTTCCAAAATCTCCAAATCTGCCCCAAAAAATCCCCTTTTCCCTCTTTTTGGGACCCCTCCCCAAAAGAACTCAGAGCCATTTCTGGGATTTCCATTTTTTTTTAGTAGTTCAGTCCAAATTATGTGAGAAAAAGGGAAAAAAAGCTGAAATAAGGGAGGTTTTGGGGGGAATTTGTAGAAAAAAAGGTAAATTTGGGGGGTTTCGAGAGTGTTTTTAGGGAAAAAAAAGGAATTTGGGGAGTTTTTTAGGGAAAAAAAGTGATTTTTTAGAGGCAGAAAGTTAAAATCAGGGAGTTTGGGGGTATTTTTAGGAAAAAAGGGTGATTACTAGGGTGTTTTTAGGGGAAAAAAGTGATTTTTTAGGGGCAAAAAGTTAAATTCAGGGAGTTTGGGGGTATTTTTAGGAAAAAAGGGGTAATTGAGGAAGTTTGGGGGATATTTTGGAGGGTAAAAAGGTAAATCCAGGGAGGTTGGAGATATTTTTTAGAAAAAAAAAGTGAAATAAGGGCATTTTTTTGGGGGAAAAAAAGTAAATCCGGGCAGTTTGGGGGTTTATTTAGGAAAAATGGTGAAATAAGTGAATTTTTGGGGTGTTTTTAGGAAAAAAAAGTGAATTTTTAGGCTGTTTTTAGGGGGAAAAGGTAAACTCAGGGAGTTTGGGAGTATTTTTAGGGAAAAAAAGAGCAAAAGAAGGGAGATTTGGAAATATTTCTTAAAAAAATTAGTATATCCAGGGTTTTTTGGGGGTTTTCTGGGGAAAAAGGCAAACCCAGGGAATCTGGGGGGGCTGGGCTTCATTTCCAGGTGGGAAATGGGTGGGAAAGGGGTGGAAAATGTGGAATTTTGCATTTTTTTGGTGCCTTTTCCCCCTCCCTTGGTCCCCCCCACGTGTAAATCCCCCCGGTGTGTCCCAAACCAAGCAGAACCCTCCCCAAAAAAAGTCACAAAAGCACACAATGCCCCAAAAAAACCCCAAAAATCCAAAAAAAAGGGACGTTTCCAGGTGCAACAGCCCCGAGTTCCCACCTGGAACGGGATTTTCCACCCCAAAAAAGTGGAAAAGTTGGTGGAAATCGCTGGAAAATGTGTGAAAATCATCAAAAAAAAGGTGGTAAAAAGCACCTCACACGTGCCCCTGCCCCCCAGCTGTGCCCAGGTGTGTCTAGGGGTATTCAGGTGTGTCCCAGCTGTGTCTAGGCCTGTCCAGGTGTGTCCCAGCTGTGTCTAGGCCTGTCCCGGCGTGACCCAGCTGTGTCTAGGGCTGTCCTGGTGTGTCCCAGGGGTGTCTAGGGGTATCCAGGTGTGTCCCAGGTGTGTCCCAGCTGCAGGTGTCCGTGTCTAGGGCTGTCCTGGTGTGTCCCAGGTGTGTCCCAGCTGTGCCCAGGAGTGCCCAGGTGTGTCTAGGACTGTCCAGGTGTGTCTAGGGATGTCCAGGTGTGCCCAGGAGTCCCCAGGTGTGGCCCAGCTGTGCCCAGATGTCTCCAGGTGTGTCTAGGGATGTCCAGGTGTGTCCCAGCTGTGCCCAGGAGTCCCCAGGTGTGTCTAGGACTGTCCAGGTGTGTCTAGGGATGTCCAGGTGTGCCCAGGAGTCCCCAGGTGTGGCCCAGCTGTGCCCAGATGTCTCCAGGTGTGTCTAGGGATGTCCAGGTGTGTCCCAGCTGTGCCCAGGTGTGTCTAGGGATGTCCAGGTGTGTCCAGGAGTCCCCATGTGTGGCCCAGATGTGTCTAGGACTGTCCAGGTGTGTTCCAGCTGTCCCCAGAGGTGCCCAGGTGTGTCCCAGGTGAATCCAGGTGTGCTCAGCTATTCCTAGGTGTGCCCAGATGTCTCCAGGTGTGTCCCAGGTGTACCCCACATGTGTCCCGGGGTGCCCAGGTGTGTCCCAGGCATCCCTGTCTGTGCCCCAGTTGTTCCCAGGTGTGCCCCAGGGGTACCCAGCTGTGCCCACGTGTGTCCCAGGTGTCCCGCCCAGTTGTTCCCAGCTGTGCCCAGGTGTGTTCCAGGTGTCCCCAGGTGTGTCTCAACTGTGCCCAGGTGTGTCCCAGGTGTACCCCACATGTGTTCCGGGGTGCTCAGGTGTGTCCCAGCTGTGCCCAGATGTCTCCAGGTGTGTCCCAGGAGTCCCCAGGTGTGGCTCAGGTGTGTCCCAGCTGTGCCCAGATGTCTCCAGGTGTGTCCCAGGTGTACCAGCTGTCCCCAGGTGTGCCCCAGGCATCCCCAGGTGTGCCCCGGGGTACCCAGCCGTGATCAGGTATGTCCCAGGTGTCCCCAGGTGTGTCTCAGCTGTGCTCAGGTGTGTCCCAGGTGTACCAGCTGTCCCCAGGTGTGCCCCAGGCATCCCCAGGTGTGCCCCGGGGTACCCAGCCGTGATCAGGTATGTCCCAGGTGTCCCCAGGTGTGTCCCAGCTGTGCTCAGGTGTGTCCCAGGTGTACCAGCTGTCCCCAGGTGTGCCCCAGGCATCCCCAGGTGTGCCCAGTTGTCCCCACTGTGCCCCAGGTGTACCCAGCTGTGCTCAGGTATGTCCCAGCTGTGCCCAGGTGTGACCCAGCTGTGCTCAGATGTCCCCCAGCTGTGCCCAGGTGTGCTCAGATGTCCCCCAGGTGTGTCCCAGGTGTCCCCAGCTGTGCCTCAGGTGTCCCAGTGTGTCCAGGCGTGCCTTAGGTGTCCCCCAGCTGTGCCCAGGTGTGTCTCAGCTGTTCCCAGGGGTGCCCCAGGTGTGCCCCAGGTGTGCTCAGATGTGCCCCAGGTGTGCTCAGATGTGTCCCAGGTGTGCCCCAGGTGTCCCCAGGT